GAGAAATTGTCAACACCACTAGACTAAGACATGCATCTTTCTTATCACTGATCAAGGTCATGGAGAATATAATACTGGGACCCAAGTATTGATGTAAGTTAATTATAGAATAAAAACTAAGTGGAACTAAAAATTGTAAACATGCTCATATCGAATACAACTAACGTTTTCTATTGAAATGGGAGATGGATGCTTACTTCATCTGCAAACTCACCATAAATCCCACGACGCACACGACCCAATTTCGAATCCCGTAGGAGGTGCTGATGAGATGATGAGGCAGGATTGTGTGTAATTTAATGGAATTGGGAGAAAAAGCCCCATAACTAGTCCTTAAATCAACCCATATGACCTTGGTTCTCAACTTTTTGTCGCTGAGTTGAAATAATGCTTGAATTTCACTTTTTGTAAGCTGCAAAAATATTAACAATTATCTGACACTGAAACATTTTTTATTTACTTTTGTACGCAAAATTTAAATATGCTATAAGTGGTCTGACCTCAATTTCAAAACTTGGTCGTGATGTCAGGGCGACTTAGTAAAACACACCTTGTACGAAGTCCTCTGACACAGCGTCGGACCGTGAAGTTGGTACATTCATCGCCATTGACTCCTACCATTTTCAGCACCAAGTTTCAACTCGTAAAAGAGACAACTGAAGTCAATCCCTCCACCAATGTCCTGGCCCATCTATTTACTCCTTACCCTCTTATCCCACCCCTGCCCTACCACAACTTCCGATTTGCTTATATCCCACTTGTCAGGTGTGCCGTTTTTTGGCGAGTAGACCTGCTGTTTACCTTGCTGCCTCCATCCTCGAGGGTGGCACACCCCCTTGGAAGTGAAATATAAACAAATCAGAAGTTGTAATATGGCGGGAGTGTGGTTTGAGGGTAGAGAGTACAGAAAGATGAGTCACGGCACAACTGTTTCAGCAGAATGTTGGTCAGGGCCTGATTTTACTTGACTCTTTGATGAGTTGTAGCTTGGTGCTAAGAGTAGCAAGAAACATTGGCATTGACGGCAAAACGTGTGAGAATGTACCAAGTCGCTGGGATTTATGATAACTGCTATAGCAGAAATTTTGGACAAGGTTTGTCCAATTAAGTCGTCCTGATGATGCGATCAAGTGGCGCAAACGAGGTTAGCCCACTTCCATAAATCGAAAGGAGACTGCGACCATACCAAGAGCGACAACATCTTGGTCTTCATATCTTCGATTAAATATGCTACTTTATTATTATATACTTTTTCGGTAAACGACTGCATAAATTCGTTTCTTCAATTTGCTCTCTTGTTTGCATAAAATGGTTCAAAGAAAGCTAGTCTCTATTTTTCATTAGTAAATTCATTAACAGCATATAAAAGAGATCATGTTGATAACTTTTCAATTTTCCTCGGCATTGGTTCCACGATGGCGAATGAAAGTTTAGATTACGCCAGTAAGTAACCTTAGGGATTCTCCAACTAACCTTGGAAACATTTTTTAGTTCATTCTTCTCATTTCTTTATTATACATGAACGTTTTCTTGGTTTTAGCATTTACGCCAATGCGAAACATAACTTGTGCACAATGCCAGATGCAAGAGCGGCCCGAGCTGGACGTGGATCTGATCAAATGGCGAATTAGTCGACTGCAATGCCTGGAGCGACCCGAATTGTTCTTCACTGCCTGGTTGGTTTGATTTAATATAATCCATTGTTACAATGCAAAAATCCAGTCACATGCATTCTCATGGAATCCGAGATGCCGCCGAGAGGTCTCTGGTTAGACTGCCAAAGACGATGCAAAGAGTGATGATCGAATTTTCCTTGATGGAAGTAGTAGAAAGCCCTATTATACCATTATTTTTCACTCAGTATTGGCTTCCAAAATGCTTTCCCATCCTTGTCAGAGGGCAATTTCGACCTCGGTTATGTCAAAATTACAGTCCAGCCTAAATGAGGAGAATGGATAATGAGGAAATTTCGATTCCATCAATAGATCTCGAAATAGAACCTTAGTCAGCAATTGTCACTCAGACTTATATAATGACTACTAGTGATATTTCCGTCAGCAAAATGAGTAAATAAATAAAATGAGCCAAATTTAAGTAGAAGTAAGTACGGTTCTTTCCCCACTAAAATGAAAAGAAGACATCACTTTGGCCCTCTTAGTCGAATTTTGACAATGGATAAATGGCAAAACAGGCTTTCTACAGCTTGCATCTTTACAGAGGTGGTGAACGACAACAGAATTTTAAGTGAAAATTACTCAAAGGATTGAGTTACTCTGTTGCTTTTTACAAGGTACAGTTCGGTGCTGGGGATAGCACCGTTGACCGAATGGGCCAGCGAGACTTTTGAGATGTGCCCAGTCAACGGTCCAATGACCATAGTTTTGTTATTTGAAGTCTCTATGAAAAACCGATAGAGTGGAACTATTTTCACGTGTTAATTTTGTTTCCTTGTCTCAAAGAAAGTATGAAATGTTTACTAAAAGGAATGGTTAGTGAGATGCTTTGACATACTGCTTGCATCTTTGCATAGTGCCTTTGAGTTATTACAAGTAAATTGCCTATTATTTAGGAAAATAATGCGATTTTTAGAATATTGCTGATACAAGTTTAATTTGCAAAATTTTTTTATGACTTGTGAACATTTCGCTAAATTTCATAATCGACATTAAGACAGGAAACTAATTCACGAATTTCATTTCATATACTTTTTTATGACTCTATCCTGATTAAAGATCCCGATTTCTTTTATTGCTATTGAAAAATATTTCTCTTTCCTCATTACTTCCCACCAAATTTAATTCTCTTTCCTTTCCTATTTTGCTCTTTAGCCCTTCTGGTGAATACCGCGGATGCGGTAAAACTATCATGTACACGAATGAGCCACAATTCGTTGGCACCATGAGATGTAAGTTTTACCCATTATCCTTTTGTTTTCCACTCTGCTCTTCTTTATCGCTTCACTTCATATTTAGCTTAACTGATGCTGACCCATTCTAGTTAATGTCTGGGCCTCCCAGCAGTGTTATACTTTTTCTTAGCAAGGCTGATTTGGTCTAGTTCGGCCAATTCTATCAAAATTCGTATTATTTTAGATGTATTCTCACCATTTATATACACCAGAATACGAGGTAGGAATATCCATTGTCTGCTAAGAGGTTCTTAGGTTACCTTTACAACCCGTTGAGCTTTTGTTTTTAAAATAATTGTTATCGTAAGATTTATGCATACGAAGCTTCATTCTAGGATATATCTTCCTCCAAAAAGTATCATGACTAACTTAAAAGAATGTAAGGGGAATATACCAGTGTGTTTATGAGTGCGTCTGTACATGTGAGCTCATGTGTAAATGCATGTGTGCACAAGTTTGTCATGAGTAAGAGTGTATCCAGGTTATATTTAGCTCAGTTATATGTTGTTCAGTTGTTCAGTGTCTACAATATGGCGACACTATACCATACCGCTACAGATCCACGGGCTCAAATGGGCCACAGAACAGCGAGTCAAGCCAGGCCCCTACCAACTCGCACGTACTAGTGGGATTGTTGATGGGGAAGCCTAGTATTTGCCAGGTAAATCGATGATATTACTTATTTTTTATGAGAGTAGTTTTTGAGACTATTAGTAATTTTATCATGAAACCTAGGTTCCCTGACGGCACGACTGCTACTAAAATACCTTGTTTAGACAACATCTTGGTATTCATAGCTACGCTTACTCACCTTTAGTTTATCGTCGATGAGAATGCTCCTTATTACTTTATTTAACTTATTATCGAGTTGAACCGGTTTAGCCTTTGCCCTGAATGTTAAAATTTTATTGCAGCTCGCTAGGGCATCTTGTATGAATCCTAATCGGTCCATCTTTAGTTCGGTTTCCCGGGAAGGGAGGGTGAAGTACTGATGAGACAATGGGGCAAGGTGATATTTGTATTGTGCAGCTCATTTGGACAGAAACCCAATATATCATGTTCAGATTCACATCCATTCCACTTCCATGTCTACCATGTCCTCTTGCAACTTGGAGATTTTTGTTCATATGTAAATTCTTTGTTCATGTGGGCAACGAGGTTTAAAGACGTTTCCAAAAGACATGAAACATGATGTCCTGTAAGCAGTCTTGTATCAAAAGTTCTGGCAAGCCAAGAACTTTAGGATATCTTGACCAACTAAGGCTGAAATACGAACCTTATACATTCACGTTTCCATGCTCAGGAACGGCTAACTAGGAATATCATACAAGCCTGAGCCCGAGCCCCCTTTATAGACGGAGCTCGGAAGTCATGAGATATCTTTATATCTTTACCTAATATTATTTTCATATTGCTCAATATAGAGAGGCTTAGAATAGTTTTCCAACCTGGCCGAAGTAATAATTTTGCCCATTTTTATGCTAATTAGATACAGAGTTTGGTCAGGAAGCAAAGGCTGAAAGCGTAAATTCGATACAATGTGAGCTCTTCTTCTTAATGCCAGAATATGGTCTGTACAGATAGTACTCCTGTCCCAGTTTTGTTTTAAAGCATATACTCACTTGTTTTGATACATGTTAGTGAAACTAAGGTTTCCTAACGGTCTGAATCCATATTTCATGCTCTTAAATCTCTATTGTTGGTATGGGTATGTCTCAAAGTATAAATAATTCTCGAACAATATATTATACAGCTCAGCTCGCTTAAGCTGATTTAAGGACTGTTAGTAGAGTTTTTCCAACATTAATGTGAGAATGCCTCTTGATTATATTGAATTTCACTTAGTTTTGCCTGCTATAATGTTCTGTTGTCCAGGCTGGACTGAGATTTTGACCCCACCTAAGACAAATCAGCACCCAAAAGAGTCGCAAACACACCGCGCCAATGGGTTACAGAGTGTGAATGCCAGGAAAAACGAGCCGAGACTCTCATAAATCGTATTTACATTGGGATTGTCAATGAGACGAATATTTTTATGCTATTCTAATTGCTTAACCTTCATATTAAAATAAAATGGAGCTTTTAGTCAGTTCAGCGAACATATTGATGGTGTGTATTTAAATGCAATACATCATTATATTTGAGGAAAATTAACTTTTCTTTAAAAGTAAGTTACTAATTGTGTAGCATATATGTATGAAAGAAAGCTGGGTTTCGAAGCATCCACTAGTGGGGCATTATAACTCGACTTTTCATTTTGAAAGAAAATTTAATTGAAGGAACTCACAAACTAGTCGCTCAGGAAATCGAGGTAGCATTAATTTACGTGGAGTGAAGACTGTTGTACTGTGCAAGCTTGTCCTCGGTTTATTGTTCTGCGACCTCGATGAACTTGTGATAAGCCTTCGTCTGTACCACCGTGATGGACATCAATAGAGCAAAAATGCTAAACCAATAGAAAACATGGCCGGCTACAACCCTAGTCACTTTTTAATGCACCTAACTTCGTGATCTTAATGATGCATCGCATGATTTGCTCGGATACATCGAACCTACTCTACATTCTAGCAGTTGAGTGAAGTTGACTCACAAACCATAAGTCAGCTGTTTCCGTACACAAATAAACTAGCGTACGATCCTCTACTGTTAATTCATGTTTGGGTTTGTGTTATTGTCTATTGTATACATAATGCTCATGTCATGAGTGGTGTCATAGCTAGACTCGAAGCTAATCCAGCCTCTTTCTCTTGTTCAGTGGCTCTTCCTGCTCTCCCTTTTCCTACTTCTCCTTAAGCCTATCCAACCGTCATAAACAGTTCATATTATTTCAGACGTTTGTTGTTTCGTTAACTTCTATAGTTTTCTTAATTTTACGCTTTGATGTAAAGTCCCCGTAACCAGCAAGATGTTGTGTTTTGAACCAGTCTACTGAGTATGTTGTGTTAGATACGTGTTCAGCCAGCTCAGATTATTAGACCCATATATCTTTAGAAGAGGTTAACTGTTCTGAAAATCTCTTTCGGATGCGTCGGCAGGTCTTTCTCACATAAATATTAGCACATGAGTACGAAACCTTGTAGCAGCCTGAACTGATGCTCCGACAAAGTTGCGAAAAAAAGGTCGAACCAACACTAAACTATGTATTGTTCGTGGCCAAAATGATTAATCTAATAATTGAATATCCGACTAACTTTTTACCTGCTATGATCTCGCGATGTTGATCCAAAGTTTACACTAAAGCCTTCATTGCCCTGTTTGTCGGATTATTACTGTACATAGAAACTAAATAGAAATGTACCAGCAAATCTCCTCTTCCTATAATTTGCTCATCTACTAACTTTACATAGTTGTAATAATTAAATATCGAAAACTTTTCAGTTTCGCAGATTT